ATACCTGAACATCAGAAAATAACTTTTCATTGCCACTTCCCCCTCTTTTCAAGCCACTGGGATTTTCTAAGAGTTGTGGAGTGCCATTCCAAGAACCATAGGGGAATCCAGGGCCATAATGTTGAGTATCACTACCTCCATGCCTCCTATCATCATCAGGGCTTGTTGCATCAATGTCTTCACTCTCTATTTCTGAGATCTGTGACAAAATTCCAAGGGAAGTGGCATTTCTTGGTGAAAAGCTAATCTGATTCTTCAATCTGTTAATGCATGGACTAAGTTCACCATTACTGCCATTCACCCCACCATAGTTACCAACACCTTTCATGGTGGAAAACCCTGCCATTTACACAAATTCATGACTTCTGAGTAACTAACTAATCAGAATGAATAAATTCATCTTAATAATATTGTACCCCTCTAAAGGAAAATTGTCTTCACAAAATAAGATGCAGGGTCAGATAATATATCATGTTCTTCCATAACAATATATGATCTAGGCCCTCAAATTGAAATTACTAGAACTGTAAGCATAAAACATAAGCTTAAATTTCCAATCTTGTGCTTCTAATTACACCAAGTGACAAAGTTAAAGCACATAAGACCTGAGCTGAATACAATAAATGCCAACTTTCCAAGCATAGGTAACTTTCACTTTGGGAAGAGTTTGAATACAAGGAATAGCATCTCCCTCCCAGAATCACTACTTTCTATTTAATTGACCGCAATATCTACCCTTGAAAGTTGCAATTGTAACTCAGTTCAGCATAGCCAGTAGCTAATAATAATTTCATTTTTCCACTTAAATATTGCATATATTCAGATTAAATTGTGTTATATACATAATTAGAAATAGATTCCACTTCCAGAAACAAGAATATCAAAGTTAAAATTTCCAAAAGAGCGGCCAAACAAAAATATAATCATATAAATGTCTCAACAAAATCACTATCTTTTATTCACATACACTAGGTATTTCTGGGCCTGTAAATTCTGATTGCTAACATAGCCAATAGCTAACACTCACTGAAAGGGCTCGATGAGGGCAGAGGAGATGGCACGGTGGTCGAACCATAGCGCGATGCGGAGGCTCTCGTAATGGACCGAGAAGAGGAGGTTAGGGTTACGCAGGGTGAGGTTCGCGCCGGGGCTTAACTTCTCGCCTCTCTTGAGGATCTTGACTTGGCCCATGACGAGGTTTGCGCCGGGGCCCTTCACCACCATGCCGGAGCGATCGTCGTCGTAGGCCTTCCGCCGGCGAGCGTGAGAAGGATTGGGGCTAGGGTTAGGGGTTCTTTGTGATCTAATGGAAGATGAATAGAGGGGCATTGCGTCGTGGCCTTGAAGACAATCGTGGGAGCGAAGAAGAGAGGTTCCCATTGCGTCGTGGTGAGGTCTTCGTCGTTGCTTGCGACGGCTGGGTTTATGTTGCTCATGAGTGAATGAGAAGTGCCTTCGTAGGGTAATATTAGGGTGTCATTTCTACATCGGTCATAAGCAAAACCGATGTAGAATTTCATATATTTACATCGTTTCTCCTCTCAACCGATGTAAATATGTTTGTATTTTCTATTTATTTACAAGTTTGCCACTGCGTTTATGATTTACATCGGTTCTGCTAGAACCGATGTAAATACGGCGATGTCAAATAGTGTTTTTGTAGTAGTAAGCATACAACACACACAAAATTAGAGCATACAAAAT